ATCGATCATGAACAGTAACACATCTTAAAGGACGAGTCAATTAAACTGCTTTCGCGTCTGGACCTCTTTCAATATGAGGATATACAAGGCATATCGTTAGTTGCATTCAGCAAACCAACGAACGACTGTCGTACGAGAAATTTGGTTGGTTCCGTTCCACAGCAGTGTCCGCCACCGGCAGTCGCTGTCGTGGACAGTGACGACTACAGTGACAACGCCTCGTTTCAGACACTTACGGACGACCGTTTTACATAATGTAGTCCTAAGCATTCGGACATGAATGATTATTATGGATCATCACAAGGAATATTTTATCCCTTGACAACAAATTGATAGCTCTTCCACATATTCATTTTGCTATATTTTCAAAATTTGTGGGTAATATCCGTCAATATTCATCACCATCTGAATCTGTTTGCGCAAAGGAACAAACGAAAGAGTTAGAAATACAGTAAAGGAAAAAATGAAAAGGTTTCGCCGTTTAATAACTGCTTTTGCTCATTTTTTTCTTATTTAAGGCTAAAGTTTGAACAAATAAATGCAGTTATACTTCCAAAATTGGACACATATCCGTTAATCCAACCCGTACTTGAATGTTTAGATACTGGTTAAAAAATACTTAAAAGAACAAAAACAAAAACTCTATACAGGTTTCAAAGACGGAATCTCAATCGTGATTAAGTCGAGCACGAAGCCAACAAAAGGTGTACGTCTTGTAGATTTATTCAAAAGAAAAACCTTGCAGCTACTTTTCTAAATGGTTACTTAAACTTTTCAGTTCCTTAAATAACCAACGAACATTGTTGCAGGAGTACAAGCGAAACCAAATGACAAGCAACTAAACTAACATTATATTTATGCGTACTTATTAGGAACTGTTTGTGTCGCCACATCCCATATAGGCTGCCCACTCAGTAAACTGCATGTATTGAACACTTCTATTATGGTTATCTAAGTTAAAGTAGCAAAACCTTTAGGGTTTTGTAAAATATATGGCATAAAATAAAGTTACTAACAAGAAGTTTTAATTGCCACTAAGCCGTCGATCACCGTCTATACTAACAACCGGACATGAAAATAAAAAATAAAAAGAAGGAAAAGAAGACTAAAAGAGCGGCAAAAACCGCAGGGGAACAAGAATTGTCCACTTTGAGATAAGATTGAAACGTTGAGCCTCAATTGAAGATGTTTTTTGGAGTTCCCTTTTACCTCATCTGAACACATAAAATAAGCTTTTCGTAAGTTCAAAGAAAACCCCTCCAATGCATATAATTTTATGTAAAGATTATAAACAAACGCTCTTGCCTTTCCCAATTAAATCAGCTGGAGTCTGATCTAAAATTAACCAAACAACTGCCGCTGTTCCGTTCAGCTTCGGCGCCTTATATCAAAAATTCAGTGTCACTTAGTGAAATATGGCGGTTTATTGCCAATGGCATCGCCTAACCAGTTGACAAGCTGCCAACCGTCCTTTCACCCCTCAACTGGTGTACGACTGCGGACTAAATAGCGCTACCGACATGGCAAGGTACTCGAAGTTCAGGACCGCTTGCTGAGTGTTGTTTTGAGAGCCTGTTCAACAGTTTTCTTGGAATGTCTATGAACAGTTGCTGAACTAGATCTATTTGGATTATTTTAGACAAACTTTGTGGGCAGTGAAGACGTATGCTTCATACTTCCCATAATCTTCACCCATACGCTTTGTAAACTTTGATACAACTCAAAAACCTCTTTCAGTTGCTTCATGGCTTATCATTATCACCAAGTTTTCTTTGCTTTTTCGGCATCCAGCAAATGTTTTTTTATTATGTATACGCGCGGAGCATTTAATAGTAAATTTACGAGTCTTTGAGGAAAGAGGGTGTTGCGAAGCGGATACTGCTGGGAAGTTTGGGTGATAACTATTTCTCCATTAGAGCGCCCACGCAGTTCGTTCCATTTAAGGCTGACTTTGTTGCCATTTCCACAACAACATACTTGCGAAGTGGGGAATGTTTTACTAGTTTTATGCTTAACAGGTATATCCTTCTTATTAGAAAGCGTTTAAGTGTTCTTTGTTGAACAGGTCATTAGTTCCGTCAAAAAGTTTAAAATAGTAATATCCATAGCAGAATCGCTTAAATTTAAATAAATATTTTTTGAGTTTAAAGCATAAAATAAGGCACTAAAGTAAAAACTTGTTTGTCTCCAATAGCCATCGAGAGACTTCTCACTACATTGCCATTCTCATTATTTTAAATACAGAAAAAAGATTATATTTGGTTGAGTACAAGGTTTGTATTTTGAATTGAGAGAACAGGTTGATTTTAGATTAGTGCAGGACCCAAGAAGCCCCACTAAATAATTGTCCAAGACAAGCAACTCTTTATCTGAAAATTCCAAGTTTTTTTCTCTGGAAGGGAGATTTTTGGGGCATAGGTTTCCTACGGTTTTTGGTAGCCAAACAGTATTTCTCGAATTCGTCAGATGTTCAAACTGAAACAGGAGAAATGAAAAGAACAAGGTAGTCTTCCATTGCAGTACGGGATAAAGTGGATCAAAATCTTAAAGACCAGTTTTGAGGAGCAGTCCTTATCTTCTTTTTCTTCTTTATTTTTAGATGCGACTAATATATGAAAAATCTCGGAGCTACGCGAGCTAGGTTTAAAATTCTCGCCATAATTTAACAAAATGTAATGCTTTTGCAATATTCATATTTCAAAGTTTGTTTCTGAAAGCCTTGACATTTTTTTATTCAAAGTATTTCCTACACAAATTCAGCTATAACTTTTAACTAAAGAGAAAAGTGTACTCAAAATCCTGACTCTAGAAAATAAAAGTTAACAAGACTTCCGTCACTCTGTAAAAACCCGTGGCTTTCGAGGCTTCCGCAGCAAGTAAGAAATGTAGACACCAAATTTATATTCGTTTTAATTTCAAAAGTGAGCCCAAGATTTGCTGTAGCGGAAAGCCTTTGGGTTTTTTAAGTTGCGACACTTGGCTAACATACGTAATACTTTTTTACATGAAGTTAACCTTGAGGAACCCAATGTTTTCTCTAAATTTCTGTTTTTTCTGTTCTTTCTGTGTCATGTGCAGTTTCTGTGTTCATTTTATTTTTCTGACTGTAAGGAAGATGATATTCTGTAAAATTATGTGGCGGTTTGTGAGCCATTCAGAAGTTTTGTATGATACCTAGACTGGTTCTAAAAGTTTTTAAATATATTTGTATTGTACACTCGTGGATGCACTGCAGCTGATAAGATAGATCAGGAAGTGCGCCGTCTTATGGTACTAGTCTGAAGCACATTTGGGTAGAATCACGAACTGAAAATACCGACTCATCGCTTATTTTGAGACCAGGTGTGACCCCTGTTTGTTATCCTTTCTTCAAGTTGCCTCTTTTTCATTATCATACATTCCTTTAGAAAGCCCAAAAAATGCGTTTTCCATGACTATTAATATCTTTAGAGCATGTCATTGGTTGTCGGTAAAAATATTAAGTTTTTTTGTATTAACCAGTGTTGGGTTTTTTAATTCCTGGTAGTAAATCATAACTGATTACTGCAGATACCAGCAGACCAGCGCTGAACATTTAATAATTATTGATATCAATAAAAGAATTGCGCAAATTTAATATCATGGTAAACTTACCGATAGCAATAGATAAAGTAGTTCCTGAACTGTACCAGCAACCCTCTATCTGCTAGTGTAAAGCAGGAATATACAAAAAAGCTCTTGGAACTAGTTGAGGTACCAGAAGTCTTTAAATTTTACAAACCACCTTATAACATATGCGCAGTATTGCGTAACACAGTGAACCAAAACATCGAACAAATAGGGTACAGTATCAATAGCAACTATGTTCATTAATTGAAGATTTAATAAAAGAAATTGTAATTTTGATTAGCACAGGTGATCTAGCACGTAAATTCCCCTTAGACTCGCACTTCTTTAAACTGAAAAAAATTAACAATAAAAAAAGGATGGACAGCAACAATAAAAACCAGGTAACTGCTGCTTTTATGTCAATAGCTCTTTTTCTTCCAGGAATATTCAGGGCGTATGGAGAGAAAGCAGGTAATGTCAAGCAGAAACGTGCCCCAGATCTCGTCAGATAGCTAAGCTACTCATTTCTTACAGCTCATATGCAGCGTTTCGCATCAACAAGAACTCAAAGGGTTTTATTAAAGGTTGATGTTTAGTAAATATTTTGGAATAAGTATAGAAATTTTTGCCTCATTACCGTTTAAATATTGATTTTACAACGTTTTATTTCATTTGAAGCTTTCTATGGCACTTACATAGACTCAACAAAAAGGTCGAGCAAGATTTATACTCCCAATGATGTGCTATGTGCTCATTGTGCA